GCTCCGGCGGCCCCGGCGGCGGCGCCGGCTGCGGCGGCTGCTCCGGCGGGGAAGGGCGAGACGACGACGGAGGCGGCGGCCACCCCCTACGTGGGGCTGCGGCGGCCGCTGGGCTACCAGCTGGCCAAGGCCACCAAGGAGCGCATCTGGCGGGGGGAGTTCATTGACCTCTTCTCCTTGCTCCACACAGAGCTGGCCCCCGAGCGCGGCCCGCTCCCGGGGGACACGCTGGACCAGTGGGTCTCCGCCTTTCTGGTGTACGCCAGCGTGGTGTGCGAGAAGCACCCGGCGCGCTGCGGCGCCATGTTCAAGTACCTGGACACCATCCGCAAGCTGCACGCCACCTACGGGGGCACCTCGTGGATGAGCTACGACGAGGACTTCCGGCGGCGCGCCGCCAAGGACCCCGGCCTGCCCTGGGGCGACGTGGACCTCGACCTCTGGATGAAGTGGATGGCGCCGCTCAAGTCGCTCCTCAGCCGGCACCAGTATGCCGAGAGCGAGCCGCCCGCGCAGCCCAAGCCGCAGAGCCCCCAGCAGCAGCAGCAGCAGCAGCAGCAGCAGGAGAAGAGCCAGGTGTGAGGGGCCCCGCGGGCGGCGCGCGCTGCCCCTCGGCTCTGCGCCCTGCCGTGCGAGGCCCGGAGCGGCGGCCGCCAYGAGCATGTGGACAGGCCGCGGCTTGGGCAGCCGCAGCGTGCACGTCTGCTGGGATTTGAGGATTTGCGGGACGCAGGGGATTTAATCCAGAACTTCTGGCCTACGCTGTGGGCAAGGATGGCGGGTGTGGGTAGGGAAGACCTTGCTCCCGTTAAGGGCTCGCTTTCCCTGCAGGCATGGAGCGCGGGAGCTGGCGCAGCCGCCGGCGTGTGCAGCGCCCCTGCGAGCTGCCCTCGTGCCCGCAGCCGCCGCCTGCACCGGGGCGCTGCCGCCTGCACCGGGGCGCTGCCGCCTGCACCGGGGCGCTGCCGCCTGCACCGGGGCGCTGCCGCCTGCCCGGCACCGGCGGCCGTAAGCTGTCACATCCCCGGTGTGAAACATGCCCAGGGATACACGAGGGATCACTCGTGCCAGCTGAGTGATACTTGAGGGATTCTGTTACACTGGCTCTGTTCTCAAGGAGTATTTTTAGGGTCAGGGAAAGCTGACCAATCTTGTCATTTCTGAAAGGCCCTTGCTGTCCCGTCAGGCTCTGTGCTCCTCAGCGAGGGTCAGCACAGAGGAGGGGTTACTAAGTGTTTCCACAAGTGTTTCCAGTGTCACACCAAACCTTGACTCTCTACCTGTCCAAATCAGCTTTTCTGAGCAGGAGAATTAAAACAAAACAAAACAAACTCAAGCACCCTATAACGAGTACTCTAGTAGCTCTAAGTGCAGACGTTACAGTTTTGGTGCATTCTGTGATYGATATTCTAGCTTTATGTAATGTGTTCTGGTATCTCTGTTTAGATTTCTCCGTTCTCGAGAACTACAGGTCAGTTTTCATTTTACTACAGATGTTACGTGAGCACCAGACGGGCAATGTCTCATACATTTCATCTCATCCCAGACTGGATCTTCAGCTTGYAACGTTAACCAGACTTTAACTTTGGTCATAGCTGTTCTGGCTGTACAGACCTTTGGACAGTGTCTGCTTAGGCACTGAAGGTCTCATTAGAGCCTCATTAGTTTAATGGAAAAATTCCAGTTGATTTAAGTAGTACGACACTTTTGCCGTGTCTGAAAGAGCAACCGGAAGTTGCCTGAAGGCTGGTTCTATATGTTTAATAAAGATAGGTTCTAAAAAGCCACAGTAAGTTTACTGGCTTGCCTAAATATAAAAATTRTAGTGCTTTAGAAGCACAATAGAAGTAAAAGCTGTGTAATTGTGCAGTGTGGGTTCACTATCTTTCTATTCTTAGAGAACAGTTTTTATTATTATCTTTTACACTGTATTTTAGTAACTGTTTATAAAAGAAAAATTGCCCTTAAATGCCTGAGCAGCTGTTGAATGTACTCGTGGCCTAGGATAAGCATGAGGCTATAGCTGTCAAGGCAGCAGCAGGAAGTGTTGAAGGTGGCCTGTTTCCCTTCTTCCTGCCCCCTAGACATGACTTTGCTGTTTGAGGAGAATAACTACACATATAAAATGAAAGAGAAAGGGTTTTCACACACAGTAAGCTTTGACTAGAACCCAAGACTTTTCGCTTTCACATGATCTAGAGGAAGGTATGTTTTAGAAAGACCTTTTCTTCTAGATGGATTGAGTTGATTTTTTTTTTTTTTAACCTCTCATAAAATCAGAGGAGAGCGTTAGGCAGTCTGTCTCAATTTCCTCTCTCTCTCGATTGAAGGTTCCTTAAACTTCCAGCATATTGTGAGAAACGTGTGTGTCTCTAGTTCTGCAGTTCTACAGAAGGCCCATCAGAACAAAATAAAAAAAAAATCAAGAAAAGCAAAGCAATGAGTTAGAACCTGGCTATCCTTTCTAAGGAAGCAATAAAGATGTGTAACTTTGTTTACATGGAATGAAGTGAGAAACCCTGGTTTCAGTTTGAATGCAGGCAGTCATAAAGATAGCTGAGACTCATGCGCGCAGATTTGTCTCGCTTAACTTCAGGCAGTTCTCATTTCTTTTTTCTTTTTTTTCCAGAACCCCTGAAAAGAGAAGGCCATTTGGAAGGGCAGTCAGAGGAAGTGGGTGAGTTTATATGTAAAATTGACTAACTTTGAACTTTAAATATTTGCAGATTTGTTAAATACAGAATTTCTTATTGGTGCCAACAGCCTGACTCCGTTGGTGTTTAAGTGGAGCTCTGGTATTCTAGTGCATTCTTTTACCTCTGCTTCTGTTGCATTGCAAGCTGTGCTAGAGAAGACCTAGGATATTCATTTTACCCAATCAGCAATTGTAACAATGGACTACAAACCTGCCGAGCAAGCCAGTTTGCTGGAAAACAGGAATTCCTGCAGCGCAGCACTTGTCGCAGACTATCCAAAGAGGGCAAAGATTCAGGAAGGTGAATAAATTGAACGCTGGGTGAATGAGGTCAGGAACAGTCTCCCAGAGGAGAGAACCCTGCCCTAAAATACTACTTTGAAAGTAGAAACCAATTTAATGCGCAGATTAACTCTTCTTAGATGAGCAAACTCGTGTGCAATCCTGGATCTTTGCAGATCACAACTGGACACTTCAAAAATCTGTGTATTATATTTGTTCAAAGAAAAAAAAAAAACTTGCCTTGTTACAGCTGTTAATTYTACCATTTCATTGAGAATGTCTTCAGCATAAATGTATATCTGACTTGAAGCAGTATACTACATTTGGTATATCTCAGGTTATTGACAGAATTATTCTGTGAGGCCCTTAATGCATTGCCCATTGCTGTTGTAGCCAGAAGTCACTTGTAGTGCACAATTGGGCTACAAAGTTCTTGACCAAGTCTAATACATAATAATACCTAAATTATTCTTCTGTTTCTATCCTCATAGATTGCATCCTGAGCATCAGAGTAAGACATTTGTAGTCTGATGCTTATGAAAATCAGACTGGCTGGTTCATTATTTAATCATTTTACAACTTCTCAGTATTTTCCTTTCCCCATGCATACTAGGCAGTGTGATCAAGGTAAAGCTGTGATCCAGTAATGCGCATGATGGTGAGCGCATGCGTTTAGTTTCAGGAAAAACAAACTGCTGTTATCTGCTCTCCTTTACCTTTTCTTGATAGTTTCAATAATACACATAACACAAAGTGTTTGTAAGTCGATAATTAAAATGTTTTTGACTTCACCTAAATAAATTTTATATATAAATGGTTTTCTTAACCTTAGCCTTTTTTCCCCCCTTGCTTGTTCTTATACTGCCACTTTCCATTTCCTAATTGCTTTCTTCCATCAGCTGACCTTTTACAAAAGCTTTTGTTTTTTCAGTTACGAAAGCGCACACAGAATCTTAACCTTCAACAGAAAACAAATAGGCCCTTGCAAYTGGCCTTCAGTATTTTCTCTATAACGTTTTAACGTTCTCGATAACGTTTTGGCTGTAGTTGTCCTAGCTCAGTCATCTTTGCCAGTCATGTAGACAACGGTAGGTGTCTTGAAACTGAAAAAGTAAGGCCCGCTGTATCAAAAGGCCAGTATTTTTGTGGCTCCCAAAGTGGGACTCTGATCCAGCGAATACTGAGGCAGTTGCAGCCGATAGGGTAGAACACAGAGCCCTCCACAGGTGGAAGCACAAGTAACACAAATATCTTTCGTTGTTGAACAGGTGCTGACGCTCGGTACCAGATCACTCATACCGTCTCTCTCTTGTCCTGTTTTCTTCATCAGAATTCTGTTCTTCAGTAGTCCAAGCTGTGTCTCTTCACCGCCGTTGCTACAGATTAATCATCACAGGCATCTCCTGAGGAAATTCTGTAATAGTGACAGGGTTGGGGGGAGGGAAAGGAAGGGATGAGCAGCCCTGGGGCCCTTCAGTCCCAGTGGGGAGTTGCGCAAGTGCAGGGCTTGACCTACTGACTCCCAGCTTGCAAAGTGGCAACAGTTTCAGTTTCCCTGTCCTGTTCGGGGGTAGCGCACCCAGCTGGAGTCTGAAACACTTCCTAATGTTCTCCGCTGAGTCCCTCTGCCAAGAATTTGTTGGGTTTGTTTGTTGCTCCCTAGTCCCCTTGCAGTCTGGTGCCCTTCCTGGCGCGCTGTCACCTCCCGGTCTCCCCGTGGCTGCTGATGTTAGACTGGACCACCCTGCCTGCTTTGTCTGCTCTAGACAATTGCCAGGGTTCTGCTTTGCTCTCCCTCATGAGTGGCTGCTTTAAAACTGCTGCCTGCCCTCATAAAGAAACTCGCTTTTCAAATGATTAGCAGTGGTGTTTGAGAAATGTGGGACTTCCTCTCTCGCGACTTTTTTTTTTCCCCCTATCCCCTTTCTCTTTTTTTATTTTCATTTTTTTCCATCAGTTTTTCTCATTTTTTCTGTCATTTTTCTTCTCTCCACAAATTCGGCCTTTGTCATTGTCTTTGAGCCACCCATCCCTGCTGTACTTGTGCTTCCCTGCTTGGGAAGCACGTGTGCTTTCCCACTCACTGTTGTGCTCCGAGTTTCTGCATGAAATCCCCTTGGCTCTTAATTTAACATTAAAAGTGTTCCACTTCAATGGGTTCCTTCACTTTCAAACCCTTAGTTCCTGGGTGGATCTGCCTATGTCGATGCCGTAGGGTGAATCTTGCCCTTGCAGCTGCCGAAGTTGCCCCGTCCTTGTTGCGTAGACCTGCTGGTTGTGTTGCAAGAGCGGCGGAGACTTGCGTATCCTCTGCTCATCGTTGATCAATGAGTAGACTCGCGTTGGTGGTTGTAAGCTAAGCTTGCTCTCACATACGTACTGGGACAGACAGAACGGAGTTGCCGGAGGTGCGAGCGATCGGAAAGCAGACGTTGAGGATAAACCATTTAACTGTGTGAAGATGCAGCACGCTGTAGGTGAGAGGCTTAGAGTGGGAATGAACCATGATTATTTTATTCGTACAATACCTGTGATCTGTAGTGGAAATCATTGATCTTCGTTTTTTTTTTTTTTCTTCCTTTTTTTTTTTTAATCCTGTTTATTTCTGTAAGTTGTAGGATGTTCTATCTTCAGTGTTATTGCAACTTCATATTGTTTTCTCAAAAATAAAAAAAAATTGAGCATCTACACTAAGTTGCTGCAAAGTTTTTCACCAGTTGGGGATACCACTAAAATGGGAACTGGTTTGCTGGGGGAGGTGGGGAGGAGAAGCGGGTAGTGTGCTATCGAGAAATAGTTTTCTGTCAATTTGTTTGAATCAAGTGGTGTGTAATTTTTATTTTTTTTTCAGTTTATTGTTACTAATTGCTAGCGAGACAGCAGATTGGCTTTCACGGGTGTCCTTTTCCATGCGTTAGGCTGATCTGCATTGTTACTACAAGGACCAAAGTAAAAACAAGGGAGAAAAAGAATCACATTCGCAGTGTGATTCTGACAGCTTAAAATCTGTTGCAACTTAAAAGGGAATGAGACTAAATCTGTAAGTTCTTGTTAGAGGAAATTGCCCTGGCGTGTTAAGTGTCAGGCTTCAGCAAAGGCAGAGTCAAAGGAGGTTTCTGGCTTTCAGATGTTTTAACTGCTGCAAACAAGTGGAGCATCTGAAAATGAGACAGTGTTAATATTCTTCCAGTTATATAAGAATATGATGGTACCAGAATATATTGCACATAAGGTAGCCTCCTACACCTGATGGCTGCAGTTCAGCAAAAAGTTGAGCCTTGGAGGTCTGGTGAGATCCTGCTGGTTTCTGAACGTGGCTTCCAGTTTAAGCCYAGGCCACCATTATTTCGTCTCCCTTGGTTTCCCATGGACTGTTCTGCTTCTATATCCAACTGTGGTGAGCCCAGCAAACGGGCCAGCCTGGAGGTGAGGCTGTGTCAGAGCAGCTGCCTGCACGCAGGTGCTTTCCTGCCAAGTTAGTGCTGTCCAGCACGATGTTCAATAGGCTGTTGACTGCTCCAGGCCGGAGGGTGGAGGGAAAGCCTCCAGGCTGCCTGCAAGGTCCCTGTGCTTTGGAGAAGCTGGTGGGGCTGGAAATGGGTCCTGCTGAACACTCCCATAATGAGAACAAAGCCAAAAAGCCTTTTGCAAGCTTTGAGGGGAGGGATGCAAGTCAGTGCTAACGGCCTGGGTTTTGTGGAAATGGTTCCAAGTGGAGTTATGTAATTTTTTTGCTCTTTTTCCCCTTAACAGGGACTGCAACGATTTATAATGCAGTTTGTAACATCTATATGAGTGCTTTTGGCAGATCTCTTTAAAAACAATTAACGTGCCTGAAAACTAGGCTAGCAAAGTTTAAAAACCTAGATCTTACATTGCCTCCTCTGGTCTGAATCTCACCGTTACGAAGTCCAACGTGCATCAGTCCAGCCCGATACAGCACAGTCCGTTTTATTCATGCCATCTCCTGGGGCCAGCACTCCTTTGGTCRCTTGTTGAGGTTTTCCTGGGAAATTTGTCAAAAGCAGCTGGCGTCTCTGCAGCGTGGCAGTTTCCTGGGCAGTCAGCTAAATGGCAGCTGAGCTCTGAAAAAGAAAACATTTACAGTATCTTAAATATTAGTAAACTTTAAATATTTTAAATATTTTAGGAAGTGTTTTTACGTTTGGTGGTTGCTGCTGCTTTCTTTAAAGAGCACTTTCTTCTTCTTATGTCTGGGTACGGTATTACTGTGCTAGTATTTCCAAACCAGCAGGAGAATGTTTACACCTAAACAAAATCTGTTTTATTGTTTTGTATTTTTTTTCCAATTGCAAACATTCCTAGCCCTAAAATCCTTTCCACTTAACTTAGTTCTTGTTCAGCTAAATTCTTTCAGATTCTGTGTGAAGTCTATGGCTCTGGTTGTATTTGGATAAAGCTTTCTGTTTTCTGAGCCACATAGTAGTATCATTTGACCTTTACCTGCATCAGTGGATGTGGAGAATATCAGTTGCCTCTTAAATGACACCGTCCCAATGATCTGAAGTAAAAATGTACATTTTTGTTTTACACAGGCCTTATAGTTGCTTCAGTCCTTCAGTGATGTGGCCCAAAGTGTCCAGAAATGCCACACGTGGGATAACTTGTGAAGTGTATTGGCACATGCAGTCTCGGTCTGCTGTTGCACGAGGGTCGTTCTGTGGGCAGCTGGAAGGCCGGCTTGGCAGGTCGGGCTCCAGCTGGAGCTGCAGGACAGCAGTCAGAGGTGTCTCTTAGGTAAGACTCAGCCTTCTCCTACAGGCATCCCGGGAGGATCCCACAGACATGAGTGCTGCCCCCCTTGGCTGAACTCAGTGACAGTCACACATAATTCCTGCCTGCGTTTGCAGGGAACAGGCACCATTAGCACGGGAGTGCCCCTCCCACGTGCCTGTCTCCCACAGATGATTCCTGCGGTGCCAAGGGTGAAAGATAACTATGTTTTTATTTCTCCTCCTTAAAGCCAGGAAATGAAACTTATAAAATGGCAACTAATAGGAGGTTCTTGGATGCTTGCAGCTGATGGATTCTTGTCAATAAAGTAAGAGTTCATCACTGTAAAATCTCTGGCTGCGCTTTTAATTRGAGTGCAGGTGTGTATCTTGCTGCATGGCATGTGACAGGAGATAATGAGACTGGAATTCGAAGCATTTGGTTTCTCAAAGAAAGGAGGAACATATTATTTTCCTTCTTTTCATGCCACTTCCCTTGATCTTGCTTTGTCACCAATGTCTCCCAAGCCAGGTAAGTGATCTTGTTATCAGTTGCAGATCACAGGAGAGAAGTCAGTGGCATTAAATAGTAAACAGTCATTCATTTCCCCCAGCAATACATTTTTAAGAACACGGGGACATTCCAAAACACATACATKAAATTTGATGGTTATTAAAAGACTAAAAGGTGACTCCAGCGGACCCAATCTGTCCTTTACTTTCCCACTGGGAAAAGAAGGCTCAACTACAGAGCTTAGTGTGATATTAACCATTGAATAAGCTATGCATAGCATGCATAGGACATAGCATGTCCTTATGGCTGCGTGCACTTTGCAGGCCAATACGAGAGCAGAAAGGGAGCCCTGGGCAGCAGGTGAGGGTGCTGGACCAGCAGCTTGTGGTTCTGACCCACCAGGGCGCCCCACCAAGGGTGCTTCGTGGTGCCCCCTACAGAGCTGTGGGGCTGAGGGAGGGAGCTTCACAGCTCGGCCTTGTTCTTGTGCCATAATGCACTTAAATAAAAAAATAATAATGGRCACAAAGCACTTTCAGTGTGCTGGAATGCTGAATAGTAACGACATACAAACCGCTGCTGCAAGTGTTGTGAGGCGTGAGGAGGTGGTGTTTGGTATGTACCATTTTCCAAGACATGCGTTTTGTATTTTAAATGGGTTTTAGGCAAATGTGTAGGAATAAAATTGAATCCTTCATTGGAAAAAGACAAGGTAGAGAACCACACAACTTTGTTAGCAAGCATTTAAAATCACTGGAATCTTTCTGTCCATCTGAGAACACAGAAAGTGGACTTGGAGTGTGTTACAACACTTGCATTGCTGAGAGCAGTCCAAGTTCCTCCCTTATTCCTCACATACAACAACTCAGCATATACAATTTCAGCCCTTCCTTTACGTAAGAAGGGAGGAGATCTGATAAGCTTGCACTTTACCTGTCTCTTGTATTAGAAGGTGTTAAAATGTAGTTGCTCCAGTTGTTCAAAAAATTAAGTTGAGAAGAAGAGATCGGGTTTCCTGATTCCAGAGTGGTTCACAACAACAGACCTGTTGGCCTGTGAGGTACGTGCCGGGTGGTGGTGGCGGCTTTTAGCTGCTCTTGACCTCTGTTCCTGACGTTTCACTCTGTGGAGCTGCTAGGAGAGGAACTTGTTCAAGCTACTCAACAGCCAGGCAAGAGGCTGGCAGAGACATTTCCTCACGAGTGTGGGAAAACTGTGGTGACCACCACTAAGCTTTGTCCAAGCAAGGAGGATGTCAACTAAAGTAACGTTTTACAGTGGTGGAGGCCCAAGAAAGGTAAATGTGCTTATTGCTGGAGCCTGTGTTGCCTTGCGGCTCGTCAGAACATCGCGAGTTTGCCATTGCCCTGTGTCATGGGTTGATTTTTGCTGTGGGAGGAGAAGAAAGGAATTTGACAAAATATGTCTCAATGAGATGGTCGATTCTACAGTTTGACCGCACAAGCCACATGCACACAAGGAAAAAAAAGGAAAAAAAAAAAAAAAAAAGAGAGAGACCCCAATTTTGCCTCTCTTTCAGAACGCAGAAGTGACTTATTTGAGATTGGGATGTTGCCTTGAGCTTGTGGGTGCATCTGACGTGGTGACCTTTTGGTTCAAAAATTAAAATGAGACAAATGTTGGACGTCAGCTTTGAAAGGCTGGTTCTAGACAGCTCTGTGTGCCACTTTGCTTTGCTCAAAGTGCAACATTATTTTATTTGTAATGAAGTTAACTTCTGGATCGCTGTTACCATGCCTGTGAAACTCCACCACAGGTTTCCAGTGTGCTTGTTAGTTAAGTGCTTGACAAACAACAAGCAGGGGGGCCTAGAGGGGCCTGTTCTTYAGTTCTTCCCTAGCGTCCTCACAGTCGTGTGAGGAAAAATGCCGTTCCTAAAGGAGAGTGATTTTGGATATCAGTCTGAAGGCTAGAGCTGTACAGACTTCAGTTTACCTGATCCTTCCCTCTTCTTACTGCACTTCCTGAGAGTAGGCAGGATCAGACTCAAAAGCCAGAAATGTCCTGCTAGTCTAGTGAGGAAGAGTGAGCGATCCTAGGAATCTGTGGATGAGAGAGGTGTCTCACGCTTAGATGACCTTCACCCATGAGGTCTCCTGTAAGGACTTGGGGAAGGTAGCCCCACACACACATGACAAACAACACTCTGGAACGGGAGGATGTTCTGGGATGGCTGTAGATTCCCTGCTTCCCATCCTTGCGTTTGTGGAGACGCTTGGCTGTGAAGCATTTGGCAGCAGCAGGAGTCAGCTCGCTACCCCTCTGGCCCTCTGGAGGCCTGGGAAAGCACAGTCCACACTGCCTGGGGAAGATATTCCCGCTGTTTCCTTGGAAGCCCATTTTAAGCAGGGAGGGAATTGCGACGTGTGCTGGATTTTGCTGCGCGTCAYGCCGAAGGGCAGTCAACACTGAGGCGGCTTGGAAAT